CCTAGACACGCCCCTTCCAGCCCTAGACACGCCCCTTCCAGCCCTAGGCACGCCCCTTCCAGCCCTAGGCACGCCCCTTCCAGCCCCAGGCACCCCCTTTCGAGGAGCAGGCGTGGCTCTTTCAGGAGCAGGCCTTTCTATTTCCTCAGACAGATTGTACTAGGAGGAAAAGGACAAGAACGGGATGCAAAACCGACTGGATGAGTGAAGGGAAGCAGGAGGAAACCCTGTCGTTCCTGAGGGTGTGGACAGTACAGCAAGAGAACAAGGGGAAAGAGGGACCTTTGAGCCCTGTGTGTGGAAGGAGGGCAAATGCTGCTGGCTAAGCTTAGTGAAGGAATCCTAGTCTAGAGACTCCAAACTGAATGAGATCTAGACAAGTGCAAAAGCCTACCTGGAGGATAAGGAATGGGCAAATATGCATAAATACTAAGGAATCATTCTCTGAGCGTGTGCGTGTGCGTGTGTGTGTGTGTGTGTGTGTGTGTGTATGTGTGTATGTGTGTGTGTCTGTCTGTCTGTCTGACTGCGCGTGCACATGCACGAGAAGGTCAGAGGACAACCTCAGTTGTTCCTCAAAAGCACCCACCATTGGTTCCTCCGCCCACTGGCCTGGAATTCACCAGGTAGGTCAGGCTGACTGGCCAGTGAACACACCTTCCTGCTTCCTCGGCATCACAGTTAGTAAGTGGCACCACATGAGTCCTGGAGAGCCGAAGTCAGGTCTTTGTGTTTACAATGCTATTCTGGAGCTATCTTCTCAGCCCCAGGAATGATAATGATTTTTTCGGTGCATTTGACTCTGCCGGGCAAGGTCAGTGTGAGCTGCTAGCCAGTGGGACATTCAGCAGTGGCTGAATCCCTCAGGCAGTGGAGACTATTCAGCAATGGCTGAATCCTGAGACAGAAGGAAGAGAATTCGATTACCACCTCTGGAAGACTGGCCCTCGGTGATGCAAGGCTGATTCCCTCTGGTATGCTGCAGAGACCCAGGAAAGGACTGGGATCTGAAACTGGCCTTCTGTCACCCAAGGAAGGCTTCTCCTGCTTAGAAAAAAACATATTTTATAATTAGAGTACAATTTCTTCCCTGTTGCTGTTAGTACCCCACCCCCCAACCCCATGTCACTACCTCAACCTGGGCTCCCTGTCCCCAGGGTCCCCCCAAGGCCTTGACATCTGGGCTGTCCATTAGCTGGTGTCTTCACTAAGACAAGGGCTGATATTGTCCGTGTGACTCTCTCTCACTTTCAAGTTTTTGAAGATATTCAGCCTGGCCTTGACAGGCGCCCTGAGTACCCCTAGCTTGTCTTTTCTGTTGTGCTTCCCTTCACACTGTCTTCCCTGATTTCAGTACTGAATCTGCCTTGCTCTCCTCATCGGCATTTGCTACAAGCATGGAACAACCTGGAAAAAATATATCCTTAAATGTGCCTACAGCCAAGCTGTGACAGCCTCTCTAAGAAAGGATGGGGGAAATTCACAAAGCCGCTTAGGAAGTCAATTAAAACCCTTCAGCTGCTTACCTGACACAGGAGACATTACATTAAAACGCAAGGCAGATGAAAACAACGTTTGACAGACGCCTCCCCAGACTTAGTCATTCAAAGGGAAGCTGGTTATGTACCGAGAACCACAATGGGGGAGAATAGTATACTTGGAGCTACTCTGAAAAATTGCCACCATTAACGCTCACTCCCCCTACCACAGACAATGGCGATCTAATTTAGCTCTCGTACAAAACACAAAAAGTATGTTCTCCTTTTGTTGGTTGCAAAAATAACAAGGCCATTTTTCCTTGCTTATTTATTCCTGTATTAATGCCAGTTGCTAAAGAGAAAGAAAGGGCCACTATTGTTTCTAAGGAAAGAGTGCTGTGTTCAGGTGCCCTGGAACGTCATTAGCCGTGTACAGTCACCTCTGCTCTCTGATGGGTTGCTTTTACACCCTGGCAGTATGGTGTCATGAAGGAGACCCAGTCTTTAATCTTCTCCCTGGGGATAGGAAAAGAGTTTCAATTGGCCTTGGCAGCAACAGCTCCCACACTTACTCTGAATCTAGAATGTTCTTTGATTGCATTCAGAACAGGCTTTGGGATCAGCTGCCAACAAAATAAAAGTCTGTCTCCAAGCAGTTGAAATGGTCCATGCTACCTTGTAACCTTTGCGTCTGCGCAGCAGTTGAATTAACCCTATTGACGCTTCTCGTAGGGAAACTAGGAAATATGGGAGGTCAGAAATATCAGGAGTAATATGGGGTCCAGGAATTCGGCTTTCCATGGTGTTCTTGGTGAACACCTACCCACCAGCTCCACACTCCCTGTTTTCTCCACTCTTCCCTTGCCCGTCTTAGGAAACACATTTTTAGAAAGAATGATGTGTTGGTTAGGGTGTTTGTCAACTTTACACAAGCTGGGGTCATAGGAAGAGGGAGTCCCAGTTGAGGAAATTCCTCCATCAGATTGGCCTGTAAACAAGTCTGTGGGAGTGTTTTCTTGATTAAATATCAATGTAGTGGGACTCAGTCTTCTGTGGACTGTGCCAGCCTTGGGCAGGTGAACCTATGTACTGTAGGAAAGCTAAGCCAAGTGAGCACCCCTGCTCCATGACCTCTGGATCAGCTCCTTCTCCATGTTCCCTTCTCAGTTCCCTACTTTGACTTCCCTCAATGATGGACTGAATAAAGACTTATAAACTAAGTAAACCCTTTCCTAGGGAGTGGCTTTTTGTCAGTGTTTGATCACAGCAAATAGAAAAATAAACAAAGATCAGGGATGAATTAACACACTCCCGGTCTTCTTTCCATGTGATAATTTAAAAGAAAACTTTGGGGCTCTGCTCTGGGTCAAGCTGAAACGCATTAAGGCTTCGGCATCTGTGGCCTCCTCAGCACAGCCTCCTCCTGTATCTGAATCTCTCCCTGCAGCAGACAAGTGGGGATAAGAATCCGCTTGGGCACTTCTCTTAGCTCCAGGAGCCCCTCTTAAATACTGCAGAAGCCTTTGGGGTGAGCGCAGCCTCTCCCTGCATGGTGTGGCTCCTACAGGTATTTTTGGCTGAGTTGCTTTTCACAGAAGGCCTCAGGCAGTGACTACTGCTATGGACTATTTTGTGATCTACTCTATGTCCCAGTTCCAGCTCCTAGTCCTCAGATGTCACCTTATGAGGAAAGGGACTCATTGCAGGATAATTAGTTGAGATCATAATGGGATAGAGATACCTCCTAAACTAGTTAAACTGGTATCTGTGGAAAAAATGGGGAAATTTGACCCAGAGATACATGCGTGTGGGGAATGCCATGTGACAGCTAGGGTTTGGCTGTCATAGCCAAGGAACCACCGGAAGTTCCCAGAGGGGCTTGAGATGCAGCCTTCCTTCCGAGGTGCTTCACGGGACCGTGGTCCTGCCTGCACTGAGTTCCTGATTCTCAGCCTTCAAAACGGTGAGGTCACAGCCTCTGTTGTTTTCAGCACTGTTATAACACTCTTGGGTAGCTGGTATAATGATTCTTAAAACTGTTTCTAAAAGCTTGGGAGATAGCTTAGTTAGTGTGTGCCATGCAAGCCCAAGGATCTGAACTTCATCCCTGGCATCCATGGAAATGCCAGGCATGGTGGAGTGTGTCTGCAACACCAGCTGAGGAAGCAGAGACAGGCAGATCCTTGCAGCTTTCTGGTGAACCAGCCCAGCCTAACCCAAGTCCCAGTGAGGAACATTGTATCAAAAAACATGGTCGGTAACTCCTGAGGAACCACAGCTAAGGCTGTCCTTTGTGCACAGGTGCACATGTACAACCACACACGCACAACTATTTTACCACACAATGAAGATGGCTGTGTTTGCAGCCTGATTTCTGTTTACAGCCTGTTTATTGTTTATAGGCTTATAATGCTTTTGTTAAACACACAGCAGACAATCTTTTGTCTTCCTGCTTACCTGTCATGGCCAATAAGGAAGTAATCCCTGTTTACAGTTCTGATGGACATCACCTCATCCGGGTGGCATTTGAACATCTTCTGCACAGATTGCATCTTTTCCTGGCTATTTATACCAACTTCTACAATGGCGCTGCTGAGACGGACACAAAGTAACTAAACTGATACAGATAGCAACTTAAGATGAAAACAGACTCCTATTTTAAATCAGGAACAAAGCTGCAGATTTCATTGACCCACATTTTAAAGACTGTCTAATTCACATCATGAATCTCATTTGAAATCTTCCTATTTTAAAAAATAACTAAGACTCTGGATCGGGTTCATCAGTAATTGAAAATACTCTGTTCAGCTTGAAATTCAATTCAGAGGTTCCTATTTGTGTCGGATGAGTCCTGAGTCCACAAATCATTATATTTTCCAGTATTTCTGGTACATGATTTCTGAAGAAAAGACAAAAAACTAGGTCATCTAAATATTTCTTAAACTCCACTTCGGCTCTCCAAAGTTGGATTTCAGGAGCTCTCTGTCACCAGAAAGTTAAGTGAGACAGAGTCCTCAACCGAATGCTCAGGAATGGAGATCTACTGCCTACAATGTACAGCATGAAGTAACCATTCCACTGCCTTCACCCACTCGGTTCATTACTTCAGTTCTTTTAGAGCCACAAACTGAAGCCCTTGGTTCTTTTCTGTCAGAGACTCAGGTTTAAGCTTCTGTGCACCTTACGGTTTGGTGACTGACTTGGGCTCATTAGCTGATATACATGTTTCCTGGTCTGGATACGCACCAGTCGATTTCTATGGAACCTCGATGTTGATGGTCTTTGTAATAGGAAAGACTGAGACCCTTTCCCTGACGCTGGGACAGAATAAAAAGACGCTTTTTCCAGGAGGTCTGAAAAAGGAAAAGGTTTTGCAGTTCAGTTAAAGCTCAGAAGAGCAAGGACTCTTCCAGTGCTCATGAGGCTGGTGGGAGGCTTGTAAAACCACAGAGATTACTTACCACAGAGAAGAAGAGCTGAGGGGGTGGTGACTTAATGAAGTAATCTTGTTTTTGGACTTCATTTTCATAATCAAATGTAAATTGTTTGCCTAATAAAAGAAAGTGAAGAGGATTCAGTTTGTTCTCTCATAAATTTCAGGAAAGAACGACTTCGTTTGGAAAACATTGTTTCTCTTCAAATTATTCAGTTATTCAAAAGAACGCGCACAATAACTGCTCCCGCCCCCACCTCCACCACAAGGACCAAATGAAGAACAATAGCTGTAGCCACCATTCCATGCAGAGGCAGCTACACTCGGCTCACACCTGCCTGGCTCTGTTGCTGCAGTTTGGCCTTGGGTCCCTAGGGAGATCAAAGGTTTGTTTCCATTTCCATTGCCAGAGTAAGATAGTAGCTGTATCGACCTTGGCATAGCACACCACGCAGAACCACCTGCCAGTGAACACGAAGCAGGAGGAGCATTTTCTCTCTGTTGAGGAACAGGTAGCGTGGCCACAGAGGACAGGGAAGGATGTTCAGGAGAGTAGTCTCACGGGTGTGCCAGGACACAAGGGTCTCAATAGCTGTGTTACACAACCCTGATTCCACCCTCCCTCACCAGGCTAAAGCCTTCATTAAGGCCTGCATTTCCTGAGCCAAAGGGAAGCAGCTGTAATGCCAGAGTAACGCTAAGCCCTTCGGCACCATTTTAACAGCACTGTTTTCCTAAAAAACGGCATCTGCATTTCATTTAGACAGTTTGGAAATCACAAAATAATAATTAGTAATAATAATAATAACTGTCTTTAATACTGGTAATTACAATGAAGCAGTCAATATTTAGGAGCTTCCACCATTTCCACAACAGGCATTGCTGCTTTTGTTAAACTGTGTGTATGTGTTTATTGTGTGCGCATGCTCCCCTTACATACCAGCATACAGGGGCTATTGATCTACAAATGTATGTACCACAGAAGATTTAAAAAGATTGGGATGCCCACATAGGGCCAGGAAAAGTGCTTGTTCCCTCCAGCTGTGCTGGAAAAGGGTTGTAACTCATGGAGCATTAGGTGCAGTGGGATTCCTCTCGTTAGTTAGCCCTAGATTCGAGGACTGTGCCAGACCCACCTAACAAATCTTACACAAGCAGGTCTTAGGAGACTGAGTTGTTCCCAAGAAACTTAAGATTTATAAGAATAAAAAATAGTCAGTACCCAATAAGGTAAAATGTGTAATGTCTGGCTACCAGTCAAAGGTGACCAGGCATGGAGAAGAGGCAGACAAATGGGTCATGCACTGAAGGGAGTAACCAATCAATCAAGACAGAACTGACACAGATGTTAGATGTGTCAGAGATTTACTGTTACTGTCAAAATCTTGGGAGATATATGAGATAGAAAAGACCCAATGTGAACTTTTAGAGATGGAAACAACGACGTTGGGGGCAGGGAGGGTTACACCCGCAGACTGTTAGAGAAAGCTGAATACAGTAGAAGAACATTACAGAGTACGGAAAGGGGTAGCAATAAGGACTATTAAAATAAAGTAAAAACAAACAAAAAAGTCCAAAGTGTTAAAGAGCATCCATGCACTGGGGCAGCCTCAACTGGTCCAATATGCAAACAGCTGCAATCCCTAAAAGGAGGGGAAGAGGCAGAAAAAATATCTGAACAAACAGTTCTAAAATTTTTTAAAAAATTTAAAACTATAAAGCAATACCCAAGCAATTCAACTAACCCCACAACACACAAGATACAGGAAAAGAAACACACTCCAAAGTTCCTCAAAATCAAGATGCTCAAAGCCATGTCACAAGAATAACATCTCAAAAGCAGGGAGCGGAGAAAAGGCAGCCCCTACATAACAAAGATAAGCAACAAAGGCGTTTTGCTTCTTTTTAAAGTTCTATGTATGTGTCTGCCTGCATCCATGTCTGAGTACCATTCGCATGCTTGGCCAGAGAGGGCCAGGAGAGGGTGTTGTATGACCTGAAACCGGAGTCACAGGTGACTGTGAGCCTCCAGTGCCATCAATCAAACACAAGTCCTCTGGAAGAACAGCCTGAGCTCTTACCTGCTGAGCTGTCTCTCCAGCCCCAACTGTTTCTTGTTAGAAATATAAGCAAGAAAACGTAGACCATTAACAGCTCTGATGAGATCCTGCCATTCCAAATTCTATAAGCAGCAAATATATATTTTAAATATGGAAGCAATTTGAAGACATTTTCAGATATGCAAATTCTGAAAGAATTTCATCGTCAGGAAGCATCCACTCTCAGAAAGGATGCTACAGAAACCCTATGGAATGTACTGGAGGTGCACAGAGCACCTATACAGAAACTACAGGGCTAAATGTGAGGTGATTTTTTTTTCATTATTTAATGCACTCAATAATTCAACCTGCTCAACAAAAATAGCAATACACTGTGCAGATTATAATGATGTATGTATAGCACAAATTCCAATAGCAGTGTAAAGGCTTGGGAAGGAAGACGAGATCACATCTTGGCAGTGAGCCTGGATTATTTGTGAATTAGTATGTCATTACTTGGGGTCAGGCTGTTGTATGTTTAAAGATAAAAAAAACCTTACTAAAATAATATAGCACAGTGTAATAAGCTAATGAGAGAGATGAAGTAAAATCGTAAAAAGGGCTAAGTTCATTCAAAAGAAAGCAAAAAAGGTGGTGGCGGGGTGGGAGTGGGTGGGGCAGTGGTGGGGGGGCAGTGGTGGGGGGGCTGGGGGGGGGGGGGGGGGGGGGGGGGGGGCAGGGGGGGGGGGGGGGGGGCGGGGGGGCCCTGTGGGGGTGGGCAAAGGCCACATGAGAAAGACACAAAACAGCAACAGGATACACTCGAGCCTGAACACAGCAATAGTCACATAAAATGTGAAGACTCTAATAAACACTCAAATTAAAAGAAGTTGTCAGGTTAGATAAAATTGCAAGATCCAACTCTATGCTGCTTATAAGAAACACATTGTAAGTATAAAAGGCACAAAGTGGGGGGCGGGGAAGAAGGACCTCTTAGGAACTCTATTGCTGTTATAAAACACCTTGAAGGAAAGCGACCCCCAGGAGTGGGGGGTTCTGTTTATGCATCGTGTACCTGTCCAGCACTGAGGTAAGTCAGGGCAGGAAGTCAAAGAGGGAGCCTGGAGGCAGGAACTGAAGCAGAAGCTATGGAGGGGTGCTGCTTACAGGTCTGTTCCTCCAGGTTTCTCAGTTTCTTTCTTATACAACTCAAGGCCATCTGCCAGGGGTTGGCCCCACCCACAATGGGCTGGACCCTTCCTCATCAGTCTCTAGTCAAGAAAAATGCCCCCAGAGGCCAAGCTGGCAGGGTCATTCTTTCAACCGAGTTTCCTTCTTCTCAGAAGACTCTAGCTTGGGTCAATGCTGGGCGGTGGTGGCGCACGCCTTTAATCCCAGCACTTGGGAGGCAGAGGCAGGTGGATTTCTGAGTTCGAGGACAGCCTGGTCTACAGAGTGAGTTCCAGGACAGCCAGGGCTACACAGAGAAACCCTGTCTCGAAGAGAAAAAAAAAAAGAAAATAACAAAACAAAACCAACAAAACCCTAAGCAGTACAGTAGACTATATTAACACTAGGCATAAGAAAGCAGGGTAGCTACAGTACACCATGCAGATTCCCAATCGAGAAATAGCACCAGGCATTAAAGAAAGTCATTTTATAATAACACAGGACTCAATGAATCCTAGGACAATATAATAATACTAAACATATATGCACCCAGCAACAGAGCTTCAAAACATGAAGCAAAACCTTATAAAATTACAAGGAAAAATAAACATATTCAAAATTTCAGTCACAGATTTAAAAAAAAAATCTTCTCTTAATAATAGAAAGAACAAAAAAGGGAAAGATCAGCAAGGACGGTGGGTCTGAACGACACTGCAATCAGCAAGGATGGCAGGCCCGAATGACACTGCCAACAGCCTAACCTGCTTGGCATTTATAGAGTGCAACAGTTGATCGGCTGGTCCTGTTCTCCTGGGTACAGCATAACTCTTTGTGACAGAAACTTCTGTCAACTAGAAAGAGAAGATAGTTCCTTCAACCAAAATATCTACTTTTGTTTTCAGATCTTTAAATAACACCTAAGATCTATGATTTTTTCTCTAAGCTCCGGGGTAAGAGAGAATGTTCATGTTAATCCGGTGTAGAACAACTGAGCAAGGAAAAGAAATGGAGTGCAGATGGCATGATTTGGGGGGTAGGAAACCTTAAACAGCCCACAGAAAACTATAAGTTAATGGACAAATTCCGTGGTGTGTGAAGTCAGTATACAACATTTTTCAAATTTCTATGAAGTAGCAACAGGTAGTCTGAAAGTGAAAATACAAAAGTTTGTTCATTTATTACAGCACCCCCCCCAAACAAAATCCATAAAAATATATTTAACCAAAGTGGTGAAAGCTAATATCCTGGAAGTTACTACAAGAATTTAAAGACAATATAAAAAATGGAAATATATCCCATTATCATGGATTGAAGGACAGTATTTTTAATAATGACATATTAGAAGTTACCCCAAAGCGATCTACAGATTCAATGCAATTTTTATCTGAATTCTCATGCATTTTTCATGAATGGAAAGTTTATTCATGTCATCATGTAGATTTTTTGATAGCCTTGAATAGCCAAAACAACTCTGAAAAACAGAGTATTCAGATATCCCTTAAACAAACAAGCAAACAAACAAACAAACAAACAAACCATACAGGATTGGAGAGATGGCTTATCAGTTAAGAGCACTTGCTGCTCTTGCAGAGAGCACAAGTTCGATTCCCAGAACCTCCATGACAGCTTACAACTGCTGTCACTCCAATTTCAGGGTTCCAATCTTCATTTCTGGCCTCATTGTGTACCAGGTGTGTACAAGGTGCACATATGTGCACTAGGTATTCACATGCTACCTAGACACACATACTGGTAAAACACTCATATACATAAAAGAAGAATAAATATATATTTAGAAAATCATCTCACTACAAACCTGTAAGAATCAAGAGCATAGTGTGAAGACAGACGCACAGGCCAAGGTAACAGAAGGGAAAATCTAGAAATAAACACACACGTCAGTGGCCAAGACCACTCCATGGACAGAGTACAATGCCCTTTCTAGAATCACATGCCTAGCCCTTGGAAGGTGGAGCAAGGAGAACCAGGAGGTTATCTTCCACTCTATAGCAAGGTTGAGGCCAGCCTGGACTACGGGAGACCCTGTCACCAAAGGAAAAGAGTGAAGAAAGAACCGGGATAAAGAGTATTCATACTTCATGAATTTATGTATGGAAATTTCTAGAATAATAATTCAACCTTATACCCAGAGAGAGGAGACCTGTGGTTGCCTAGGAAACGGTGTGTGGCAAAGTGAAAGTAGGCTTGATGGTCAGGTCATTACTGCACTTAGGTGAGTTTACGGTATTTACTCATTTGTTTATTTAAATTTGACAATATTCTGAGTTGAGCCTAGGCATCACGAACGCTAGGCACATGCTCTGGTCTACATCCCACCTGTAGTATTTCTACGTGACAAATCCTATCTACTTATCAATCACGCCCCTAAAGATTTCTGAAACATCAAATCCACTTGATAAAAGTTAAATATATTTTTTACAATATGACCCAGTCATTTCTACTCCTAGGTAAATTAAAAGAATATAAAGAAAAACACCTGATGCCAACCTCTGGGCTTAACACATACATGTATGTGTATTGATATATGCACACATCCACATGAACATGTACATACACCACGCACACACATATATACCATATGTATATATACATATTTATAAATGTTCATATAATCTCTTTATAATAGACAAAGAGAGAAAAAGCCCAAATGTTTCCAGAAGGTCAATGAATCATCAGTTATGACATATCCATATAATGGAAAAGCCGAAAGGGCCCAGACACAGCGTGGACAAGACTCAATTATGAATTAGAGAACTGTGCCAAGTAGAAGAAGTCAGACGAGTGTGTCTTACTGTGTGCTCACAGTTATGCAAATCTAGCAAACACAATGACAGAGAGCCAGGCACTGGGACAACGGACTGGGCGTCGGGGGAGCGGGGGTGAGGGGTGCGGGGGGGGGAGGGTTATGGCAAATAAGCAAAGCTTGAAGTGAGGGAACAGTCACTATGCAGACTGTGGTGAAGCTTGAAGCTTGCCAGGGTGAATGCATCTACGGACATTTACCAGACTGTCCACCTCAAGGAGATGCGTGATAAATTGCAGCAAAGCTGCTGAACGCTACGGCCAGTCGAAAATGTGTGGCCATGCCAAGCCCATGTGCAAAACGCTGCTGCTGCTAGGAGGTCAGAGTCTGGCCTTCTCAGCCTCTCTTCTCCCCCTTCCTACGGTATGACACTACCCTGCTCCTCACAGCCTGTCTCTGTACCTCTCTATCCAGTGCTGTGGGGCTTGCCATCTCTTCTGAAGGGATGCGTTTCCTTTTCTAGGAGGGAAATGGTACTATACGGGTATCTACTTCATCCAGGGGGCTAGTGAGGTCATGAATTATAGAAGAGAACCCTCCCCCCTTCCCCAGTTCACTCCTAACTGCACTCAAAACTGTGTCCTTACACCCACAGATAAGAGTAACTCTCTTCCTTCACAAAAGCTTTTCTTTACAGCAAATGGAAGGCGTTCCAGAAAACCACAACTGGATACAATGTCGAGATCAATGGACTGTGGCAACCTCAGGCCCGGTCAATACATCTACAACATGACTCCTACACCTAGGGCTGAGGAAACATCCAGGGAGAGCAGGAAGAAAGAAAGACTGTAAGAGCCAGAGACCCAGGAAGTCCACAGCGAAACTGTGTCTCCTAGAAACCACAGCTTGAGTAAGGACTGAATGACAGTAATCTCAGCAGACACACTAGTCCTGGAGAGGAATCTCAGAGGGAGAGTCAGCCTCTCACAGGGATAAGCGCCCTAACTGGTTACCCAATACCAAGTGATCAGTCCTAAAATTATTTTCACATAGACAACAACAAAAATAGACTCAGCAGGTTATATTTATGTGTTTGCACATGTCTCTGTGCGTACATATGTAATACATGTGCGTATGTGTGTATACATATGTGTACACACATGTGTACAACAATAATAATGAAGAAGAAGCCATCAATTTGAGAAGGGGTTGGAGGGAAGAAAGGAAAGCAGGAAGTGATGTATCTTCTAATTAAAAATATATGTAAAATATTTAAAATTTCAGACCCCCAAAACCCTCCACAGAGGAGTGAGTGAGGAGATGGTTCAGTTGACAACTTAAGTATGAGGACCCAAGGTTGGATCCCCCACACCCACATAAATCCTGTGTGGTGCTATAGATCTTGAACCCCAGTGCTGGGGACGAAGAGACAGAACGGCAGATCTCTGGAGCCCGTTAGCCAGTCAGCTGAGCTGAATCACGGGGGCTAAGTGAAAGACCCTGACTTGAACAGTAAGGTATAGAATAATCAAGGAAGACACTCAACACTGATCTGTGGACTCCACCAGCCCATGTACACATATCCCAAGAACATATATATATGACATGCATATGCATAAAGACAAAATTAAAAGAATAAGCCCTGCGCACACACTAAGATTCAGCCCAAATAACCTCTCTCTAAGACTTCCTGGGATTCCTGAGATGACCTCAGCCTCTTCTTTGGATTCTACAGCACTTTGGTCCCTGTCCCATGGTTACACTGATTGTTTGTGCTGAGCTGATGTCCTAGATACAGCTACTTGCCTGTGAGATTATAAGTTCCTTGAACACAACTCTTCTATAATCAAGAACTTCATGCAAAATTAAAGAACTATATCCTAGTCTCTGCTGGGCTGTAGTTTATCAAAGGCATTGTCTTCAAGACCCAAATGGAACACTTAGCCAATGAAAACCAGGAAGTGCTAAGTTTCTAGACAGTTCAGCTTTTACAAATAATTAAGCGAAATCAACAGCTCCTGCTTTCTCTAGACCAAGAGTCACTGTCCCAGAATGATACCTGTTGTCCCTACAAATGGAAACTAATGTCTGCTCCTGGGTAGCCTGGCGGACCTGGCTCATCATTGTTGGTGGACAGCTGTTTCCTTCTGCCACTACGCCCTTAGGTACCTGGGCCCTTTGGAGGTCTGACTTCCATCTTGCTGGCTCTTCTCACCTGTCAGAAAAAGGAGGTAGGCAATAGTTAGCTTCCAGACGTAAGTGTCTGAGCTGACTAACTATGGGACCATCAGGGGTCGGACGGGCATCACAACTCTGGCTCCTGCCTTTTCTGTCTTTCTATGTGTATGGAGTCCAGAAGTTAACATCGGGTGTAGTTCCTCAGGTGGCGTCCATCTTGTTTTTTGAGACAGGGTCTTTCATTGGTGTGAGCTCGCCTGGCATCTGCCTTCTCTGCCTCTCCTGCTGCTATTGCAAGCAGGTGCCACCATCTCCCACTTTTTAATGTGGGTTCAGCGGAGGGAAGTCAGGTTCTTATGCTGGAACAGCAAACGCTTTACTGACTCAGCCAACTCTTTCACTAACGTGTTTCTGTACTGTGCCCCAAAGGTGATGGTAGCCATGGTGATGAGGACCATCCAGAGAGCCTGTGCTCACCCAATAGGTGATGTGGGGAGAAGCTATGGAGAAGACTGCAAGGGTAGTCCTTGATGTCCGTGCCACATGTGGCTGTAGGAGAGCCCCAAGGAGGCAGGCGACAGCAAAGAGATCAGAGCAACACAGAGGGCAGGAGACTGTGGGTTGGGAAGCAGCCGGGATAACCCTGTTCACATCTGGGGCCTTGCTTTCTCCAGAGGGAACCTCATGAGCAAGGACCAGAGACCCCTGTCCTTCAAGTGCCTCTGCTATCTGTATGGACATTCTCAAGATTTCCTGATGCAGAGGCCAGAGGCTGACCCAAGGGAGCTGAACTAAGTCTTGTCCTATAAAGCTGTCGGCCATCCATGACCATCTAAAGCAATGGTTCTCAACCTACAGATTATCAGATATCCTGCATATCAGATACTTACATTGGTATTCATAACAGTAGCAAAAGTAGCAATGAAAGTAATTTTACAGTCGGGGGTCACCACACCATGAGGAACTGGATTAAAGGGTCTCAGCACTAGGAAGGTTGAGAGCCACTGATCTAGGGGACTGAGGTGGGAGTGAACTTCCACAAGGTGAGGGCTGTAGGGCTAATGGAGTCTTGAGAACTAGGACTATGTCCATGGTCAACCTCTGCCTTGAATTAGTAACACCTCAAGATGGAAGGCCTGAAAAAGGAAGCACCAGCAATCTGGGGCAATCAGAGAAGAAAGAGAGGGCTATTGCCATCTAACTGTCCTGGTGTGAACACTCCCCTCCTGGACTGTCTCTGGTGTGAACACTCCATCCTGACCTATGCTGGGTGTGAATGCTCCCCTCTTGACCTGTGCCTGGTGTGAAGGTTCCCCCCGACCCGGCCTGTGCCTGGTATGAAGGTTCCTCTCCTGGCCTGTGCCTGGTGTGAAGTCTCCTCTCCTGACCTGTGCCTGATGTAAAAGCTCTCCTCCTGACCTGTGCCTGGTGTGAAGGCTCCCCTCCTGACCTGTGCCTTTAATTATCATCAGCCCATTCATTCCTCTCCCTTGTTGGCCTGTGAGAATCATATCAGAGCTATTTGAAGACCAGTGTGAGTTTTCCTGGACTTCTTTTCAATGTGAGAGTGCTACTGCCTGGAGAGGTAATTAGGAAGGGGTGCTTTTCAGCACCCCGTTTCATCTGGCCTCTGCACATGTGAGACTTGGTCATCCATGCATGCAGCATTTAGCCCAGTATGTAATGGAGCAGAGAACCCACATAAGGCTGTTCTTTGTAAAATAAATAAATAAATAAATAAATAAATAAATAAATAAATAATAAAAACACCAGGAAGTTCCTGATAAAATAATTGTTTTTAAAGCCTTTATAGTTTGTAGAGGGGAGGGATAAAATCTTCCTGATAGTACTGGTTTGAGAACATCCTGCTTCTTGACAGTTTGTACGGAATCCATGCTTAATCCTTCCCCAGCACCAGAGCTCTGACCAGTGCCTGGGAGACTGGAGGCACACCTGACCTTGAGCACCAGAGGTATTTACGTGTTTGCATACTCTGTGACTTTTGGGTCTCAGAACCAGCCTGTACTGAAGGAGCTTATTTCACAAATGGAGACCTGCACGTGAGAAAGAGTGAGGTGAAGTGTTTCTAGCTCCCTCAGGAGAGTGCACAGGGCTCCGCATGGATGCTCAAGCACACTTCCAATGACATCACTTCCTTCTGCACTAAGCCTGGTACAGTGTGCTTTGGGGACAGCTCTAGCCTCATGCTGTTCATGAAGGGCTCCAGGGTTGCCTATGGGGATTGCTTTTCTGCTTTCTCCCCACCCACCATACGAATACACCTGTAGGGTGTGATGGCTTAGTGTGCTAACGGTGGGATCTGGGTTTAAATTTTTTTCCCTATCAATAAGGAAAGGTGGGATCTTGAGTACATTACAGAAGTACAGTATCCCTCTATGTTCCGCTCTCAGGATTGCTGTGAGCTTCAGTGGAAATAGTCTGATTAAGAGAGCTCGGCATACAATAGGTGCTCTGTTATCAAGAATGCTACTTACCAGGTTCTTTCTATCTCAAATAGTCTATGGCTTGTGGGTCGATAATAGCTAGCATTTATGGTACATATAATACATCCCAGTGTACACCTAGAGCTTAAATTATTTTTACGATTCTGTAGCATCCAGCTACAGACAAGAAAACAACTATCAGAAAGCAACACTAGAAAACAACCATTAGAAAGATTAAGCAACTAATCTCTGCAGGATTAAGAACTCAGGACACAAGCCAAATTCTAACTTGAAAGTCAGTCTTCAGGATTGTGTACTTCTGCCTGTTCAACAAAGGAGAATGTGTGGGGACATGGTGGCACATGGCTTTAATCCCAGCACTTGATGGGCAGAGGCTAGAAGATATCCATGAGTTCTAGGCCAGCCAGGGCTACTTCCTGAGACCCTGTCTCAAAAACAGACAGACAGACAGACAGACAGACAGAGATGACAGATAGATGATAGATGATAGATAGATAGATAGATAGATAGATAGATAGATAGATGACAGATGACAGATAAGGAAAGGAGGATTCGATCTTTTTACAGTTTTCCTTGTAGTTCTTGACACTGGTCCCGAGTAGGCAGACAAGTCCCATGGCCCTGCACATCTGTTCAGTTTAACTCTTTGATCTCACTCAGGAAGAGCTCACATTTGTTCCCTGGCCTGGCTATTGTCGTGCCAGTTGGGAGTTGATAAGTCAGATGCCAAGAGGTCCCATTTCCCATTTCTGGTTCTACAGCTTGAGAAGATTAGAAAGAAAAAGCCTAAGATAGCAAGACTGTTTAATTGGAAATTTTCCAGTCTTCCAATTGGCAATTGCTCAATTGTGAACAAGCTCCCAGATCACCAGAATCTTGGGACTCCAAGCCCGTCACAGTCCAGTGGTACTCACCAGGTCACCTGTAGCTCTCGGCACCACACTGTTCCTGGGCTCCGGAACTCCTCCCGTTGACTCTGAGCTCTGCTCTGAGGGTGGGGATTAAGTAAGTACAGGCTCTGTTTGAAATGTGAACCAGCAGGAAGTTCTCAACAAGCCTTGGGACGATTTTACTTCTGTCCCAAGTACAAATGGAAGCTGGTGCCCAGGGGGAAGTCCTGGACTTTCATTCTTCTTGTGGCCTGGCACAGAATTACACCTGATGTTCCAGGTAACTGGTTTAAAAAAAACAAAACAAAAAAAAAAACAAAAAAAAAAAAGAGCAAACAATTTTTAAAAATTCCTGCAAGACTTTGGACCGTAGTAACAATGACTCTTATTGAGAACAAGACCAACCTAGCCTTGACCTTCTGCAGTGACTACCACTGAAACAATTCTCTGCTTCCCATCCAGCTGTATCTCACAACACATCTTCCTTAGGAAGAATTGCTTTGTAGCCAACGAGGAAAGAAAAGCCCAGCTTCTCTAATACACTCATGCCTTCGAGTAGTTTCCAGGAAGATTGGCAAATTCATGCACGATGGAGCAGTTTCATTGGTGTGTGGAGGGGCTGGGTATGCTGTCCATCACATGGCCTCTTCAAAGCAAGAAGCGTACCCAGTTGACCAGTGCAGTAGTATTGGCTGGCTAAGGGTCTTGCATGTACTTTAACTCATGTTACAGATAGAGGAGACAGCAGAGTGCCAACAGTTACACCATTGTTATCTTAATACATCTAGAAACAAAAGGACTTTAATCTTTGCTATACTTGCTGAGGTAGCTCAGCTCCTGTCAGCTTTGCCACGTATTCATTAACCTAACCTTTGTAGTCTTTCAGGGTAATGTTGTAGTCTTCCTCCCTTCCCCTCTCCCTCTCCCTCTCCCTCTCCCTCTCCCTCTCCCTCTCCCTCTCCCTCTCCCTCTCCCTCTCCCTCTCCCCTCTCTCTCTGTCTCTCTCTCTCTCTCTCTCTTTCTCTGTCTTTCTTTTTTCTTTGAAACAAAGTCTTCTTGTTTCTGAGGCTAGCCTAGAACTCACTAGGTGACAAGGCTGGTCTTGAATTCACAGTGTTCCCTGGTCGCAGCCTACTGAGTCCTGGGATTACAGGAGTGGGCCACCATGCCAACTTTGGATAGATAATCCTGACTTCACAGACTCTTTCCTAAAGCATAAGACTTCTCATGAAAAGCAGCCACACAGTGCTGGTTAGCCTTTGGCTAGGGCTCTTCCTCCTTTGTTTACTTCTGCACCACACAGAGGGGGTGGGGATTGTTGGTTCTCCTTTTGGCAACTCTTCTGGGCTCCGGGCATGCAGAAGCAATCAATGTGTTCCCCTGTAGCACAGAACTTGCTTTGCTTGTTTTAGGAGAAACCATTTCTTGAAACGTATTTCCTGATATAAAGTCAACCTTGGACCTGCAATCTCTCTGTGGCTTCACAGCTGATCTTTGTCCAGATGTTACTGTTAGAGTCTTGAGTAGTTCTTCAACAGCTGTGCTGGTCTCCACTGTGAACTGCCGAGCTACTAATAGCCTGTCACTGTGGTAACAAGCCATAACCAACAGGGAACAAGGAAATTACTTTATGATTTGTATTCCCTTATAACAATAAAACAGAT